CACTTAGGGATTATAACCCTCAGGCAATAGAATTCTTCTTTCTGTTTTGCGAAGAAAAGGAGCTGAACATTTTCTTTTGTATTGATTTCCCCTGTATTCCTTTTTAATCATTGCCTTTTTTGTATGTATTGTTTTGTACAATATGGCAACACATTATGTGTCAGTTTGCAACCATGTTATTGTAAATATGCGTGAAATTCAATGTAATTTACAAGTCGATAAAAGTTTAATTAAAGTGATTTATATACAAGATAAACTAAAAGAAAAGTGTGTAAAGTATTAAGTACAGTGTTATGTGCATTTATATATATAAAAGTATGCACAAATGCTTTTTTGTTAAGGAAACCAAGTGGAACGACTTAAGAAATTTTAACAACAAATAACTTATAAACAATGATATTATTTATATTTTTTAGTTATACATGTTTTAGAGGATACCTCCCTTAACATCCTGACCAAGTTTCATTTGTTAATTCCACCTGGTTTTCATAAAACACAAGGTGCGGCTGACTACTAAAGCCCACCCTTTAAACCTCTTTAATTAATCTTTTTCCGAAAAAAAATACGCAAATTTTATTTATTGCTATATCAGTAACTGATTGGTGAAGTGGCGCTCCACTACGTTTTGCTTTGCACCTTTTGTTTGTTTTTTTTTTTTGGGTTTTGATGGTCTTAAATGGTCGGGGCATACAAAAACTTTATAATGATTCTTCTTCCGTGTTTAATTTTCAGGTGTTGTTTAGACCAATTCCAACGTTTGATTTTTGCTATGATTGATGTGTGATTTCTCTGTTGTTTATGTTGCCAGCCGATTTTGATTTGTAGTAATGTCAGCTTCGCGCGAGTTGATTGATGAGATTTTTAAACAGATGCCCTGAGGGCTAGTACAGCAATACAAATATTGATGACAGTTGTTAAGACGATTACAACATGTAGCGATAAGGGCTAGGTATTAGCCCACTTCCGGTATGTGCAATGAGCGAAATGAACAGATTATTTTTAACAAAAAAAGGAACAAAAGAAAAAATAAAAAAACAAAAAATAAAAAATAAAAAACAAAAAATTGCAAAAATGTGTTGGCCTCTTCAGCTGCTTTGACTAGAACGAAATTGTTTGAAAAATATAAAACAGGTTAAGACAAAAGTTCGTAATCATTTATTATATAAGTCATGAATACATATAGATATGTAAAATTTTTTTTTGAGATCGTTTAAATTTTTTTATCACATACGAATGTATATGTCAGTCTTAGGTAAAAGAATGTATTTGGAGCATTCTAGTCTTAAGTTATTTTAATATAAGGGGGAAAAAAAAACAAAGAAATTTATTTTTTTTTTTTTTTTTAAATTTTTTAAAAATCTAGATTTGCTTCTTGGATGAAGTTGCAAAGTTCTTTGAGAGTAGCACAGTCTCTTTTTTTTTAAATTTCAGTGCAGTCTTTGTGGTTTTTAACTGCATTGTACTTGTTTCTTATTGTGTCATATCTTTTGCATGCGAAAATCATGTGGGTATAGTTGTCAAGGACGTGACAGGTATCACAAATATTTGTATCGACTATTTTTATTCTGTTCAAATACTCTTTGTCATAGGTGTGACCTGTTAATAGTCTATTTATGGTTTTAATTTCTTTTGCCTCGAGTGTTGAGTTGTGATGCCAGGGTTTATTTGGTATCTCTGGAAAAAAGTTAGCTAGAGTTTTTCCCTTTTCTTGTGAGATTGTTTGGTACTTAGTATTCCAGTTATTTTTAATGATTGTGTTTATTTGACTTAAGGCTTCTTCAGGAGTGAGTTTAGTTGCTAAAGGAGCACCTACATCGACTGCCAATTTTGCTATGTAGTCTGCAATTTCGTTAAATTCAATTCCTACATGACTTGGGGTGCATACTACTTCACATTGAATTTTGGCCTTGTTGAGTGTATTATGAATATTAGCTACTATATAGTTGTTGGATGTTTCTTGTGATAGGAGTTGACATGACGCCAAGCTGTCTGTAAAAATTACAATTTTTTTTAGATTATCTTCAAAAGCGATATCAACCGCTTTTGCAATTGCCCACATCTCACTAAAAGCAGAGGAAGATTTGAAATCTATGCTGAAGTAAAAATGTTGTTTTTGTGACACATTGTAAACACCACATCCCATAGAGTTTACCCCTCCTGAAGCATCAGTGGCAAAAATGGTGAAGTTGTTTTTTTTATACTTCTGAAATAGAGAGTAATATTCAGATTTAATCTGTTGTTTTGGTAGTTCCGTTTTTTTCTTAGCCAATAGTTTCTTAGTTATCCTCAGCTCTCTGTTTTTTGTGAAAGCTGTTTGTGTGCTGACATTATCAAGAATTTCTTTGAATTGGTAATAGGTTTTTGAATAACTGGAGTTTAGTTGGTTATGGAAAGCTACGTTATTGTATGCGTTTACGTTAATAAATTTAAGTTTTATGAGTTCACGACTAGTGAGAAGCATTTCCCTTTCCTTAGGTTCAAACTCATTTGCTAGAGCGTAACTATTATGAACTAGAGTTGAAGGAGTTAAACCTAAACATCTACGAAGAGATTTATTTTGAAAAGCCATAATTTTGTTGTTGGATGTTTTTGGCAAATTATGAGTTGTGGATCGAGCTACTTCTATCTTTGATCTAACCAGGCTTTTGTAAAGATTGACTGCAACTTTAGGTGTGACCCCAGCTTTCACTGTGGTAATCATTTGAATTAATTTGACATTGTTCGCGGCTTTTTTGATTAGTTTATTGAAATGAGACGTTACTGTAAGTGATGAGTTTAGCGTACGACCTATGAATTTGATCTGATTTACTTGTTCTATTGCCAGGTTATCAATTTTTATATCCAACTGTTTTTTATTAGTTTTTGCAAAATATATTGACTTAGTTTTATGGGTGTTAATATTGAAATTTAAATCACTGCATTTATCAATAAATGTTTTAAGTTTTAGTTGTAACTTTTGTGTTAAGGATTGGAGATGCCTGTCATGCACCATGATGAGAAAGTCATCAGCGAATTGAAATATGTCAGTGGAGTCATCTTCAAAGTCATGTAAAGATTTAGTATACAAGTTGAAAAGAAGGGGCGAAAGACAGCTGCCCTGTGGGAGACCATCATTTATAATGACTGACTCCTTACCTAATTTTAATATTCGTTTTTTCAAAAAAGATTGGAACCAGATAATATAGTTGCTGTTAATATTGCATTCTTCTAGTATTTTTGTTAGAGCCGATGTTGGGACACAGTTGTAAGCATTACTGATATCCATCACAACTGCTGCAACTTTAAAGCCTCTATCTTTATATACTTCGATATTATGAAGGATTTCGTTTAGGCACATTGATGCAGATCGGCCTTTACGATAGGCAAAGCATCTATTTGGAAGGACTGCATTTTCGGTCAACCATGGATCTATCCTAGCCTTAATCATCAAATTTATAATTTTTAGTAATACCGAAATTAAGGAGATTGGCCTATAGTTGTGGTAATCACTCAGATCTTTATCAGCCTTTGGAATGGGTTTGATTTTTATTGTACGCCATTGGTCATCGATTTCTCCTGTCTGGAAAGAGTTATTTAGGGCTATAAGGAGATTTACCTTGGCATTTTCAGAAAGTGATCGAATCATCTCATAAGTGATTCTGTCAAATCCCCCTGCAGATTTTTTAGTTTTGTTTTTGAGAACTGCGTTTAGCTCAGATAAATCAAAGGCCTGCACCGTATCATTTTCTGAGGTTACAATGAGTGTATCGTTATGACTATTGCTTATAGAAACTTGATTTTTTAAGTGCTGTAAGAAATCATGGTGTGAGCCTTCCAAGGCTGAACTGTCAACTTTTTGGTAATTTCCTTTCATATTTTTCACAAATCTCCATGCTTCTTTGGTGTTTGGTTGATTGATATAAGTTAATGCTGTTTTGAAAGTTTTCATTTTTTGCCTTTGAAACTTCTTCTTTCCAGATTTTTTCATATTCTGAGGCTTTTTTAAAGTTTTCAGGCGTAGGGTATTTGTTGCATTTTCTTATTGATGCAATGCGAAGTCTGAAATGTTTTTTTAAGCCATCATGCCACCAGGTTTTTGGGGTTTTGTTGGTGAGAGTAACTGTAGCCTTTGAGATTTCTTCGGAAAAGGTTTGGCTGATGTCTCTTGTAGAGGTCTCTAATGAGATGGAATTGAGGGATGTTAGGAGTTTTTTCCTAGATAGGAATGGTGATACTCTTGGGTGCCGTGAAGTCCATAGTTAAAGAGATGGGATAGTGATGGCTACCCCCAGGTGGTAATCTAAAACGTCCCAATTGCATGAAGCTGTGAAATTTGTAAAAGTTAGATCCAAAACCGATCCCCTTTTCTTGTCTTTTAGGCTAGGTATGAAAGTAAGATTCCCATTGTTTAAGCAATTGAAAATTGAATCATTGGAAAAAGACTCAAGCCACTTTCCTTTAGGATTATCAATACTATCTCCCCATTTCCTTGAACGAGCATTAAAGTCGCCCATTATAAGGACATTGTCATAGGTTTCAAGAGTGTTGAATAAATTAGTGATTAAGGCCTTAAAGGTGGCTAAATCCATGGATGGCTCGCAGTAAATAGAGCAAATAGTGAGGTTCCTGGTTAAGTTTTTTGTTTGAATTATGCAGATATCATGGTTAGATTGAAAAATAATTTTTTTGAAGCGAATGGATTTTCGAAGGGCAATAGCGACCCCTCCATATCCATCACTTCTTTTCTTTTCTATAATGTTAAAATTTGTAATGTTTTTGTTTTTGATTGTGTCCTCATGTGAAAAAACTTCACTGAGGCACGCTATGTCATATTCTTTTGAATTTAAAAAGTAGTCAATGTTATTTTTGTTTTTAGACAAAGACTGGATATTATATTGCAAGACCCTCATCATGGTTAGATATCTCCATATCCTCCAAATCAGCTTCGGAGTCTACAATTTTTGTTTTAATCTGTCAGCAAAATGCACAAAGGCATTTACTCCTGCAGGGAAGTCTACCTGACGGAAGGCATCCCTAGCAAATTTAGTCATTTCTGTGGTTATTTTTTCAATTTCCGACACTAGATGCAAGTTAGGCTGATTAAAGGCCACACCATTATTTTGTGTCCTTCTCGGACGAGGTACTCTAGATTGTGAGGTTTTTCCCACGAAATATAACTTCGGAGCCTGGCGTCTTACAGTTTTAGCATAGGAAATTGGTGTTAAAATTTTGTTAACCTCAGTTTGATTGTTTCTGTAGAAGTTTTTCTGTGTATTCAGCACAGGAAAATGTTCTTCACTAAGAAGTTCAAATCTATTTTGAGTTTCCAATTTTAGTTCATTTAATGCTTCTCTCCTAGTTTGCTTTTTTAAAGTCATCAATTTATTAATGTGGTTTTCTTTTTCCCCAGCTGGGCAAATCTTCCTGTCCAAAGCAATGTGAGAAGTATCATCACATAGAAGGCATTTAGTTTCACATGACATTACGCACACCGGTTTTTTACCGCATTTCAAACATCTTCTGCCAGTTCTGCATGCCTTCTGTGTGTGACCCAACCTGCCACAACTGAAGCATTGCCTTATCATCGGATAAAAGTAGTGTACCTCAAGAATTGAATAATCTAAAATTACTTCCGTTGGGATCTTATCTCCAAAGAAGCCAATTTTGACCGACCAGGTCGAAACCCTGGCATCACTATCTCTACTTTCCCTCTTTGTAAATCTTTGCACTGAAGTTATTGGGATATCTGAAATTAACCTCTCTTTAATTTCTTCTTCTGTATAGTCTGGTGGAATGCCCTTTATGACACCGTAAGACTCTACATAGCTTTTTGGAATAAAGGCTCGGATATTATTTTCTTTTAAATCTTGGTTTAGTATGCATCTATTTGCATAAGTTGCATTTTCAAAAGTTATTCTAAAGAGTGTTAAGCCGACTGCTTTAATAGTGGAAATGCCCTCAATATTAAATTTTTCTATTTTGCGCCATAAATAGAGGCCATTTTTTACATTTTTGTTTTGCACATTTTCACATTTAGAGGTATCGCAGAGCACGCTTGCCTTACCCTTATGGATTGCTGGGTAAAACACCGTTTCTCTTGCCTGTTCTTTGTTCGCATTTGCATTTTTAACAAAAACTCCTGACTTAACTGTTGTTTCGGTATCTGTATTACCTGCAAGGGCATTGGCACTAGTGGATGGAAGAATAGCGGTTTCTTCATTACTGAAATTTTCCGCAAATATTTCATTTAATGATTTATCAGTAACATTTTCTGAATCCGAGTCCTTTTTTCTTTTTCTATTAGAGCCCGGTGGCACCTGTCTAGGCACTGCACCAGCACTTTCGTTATTTGACGCCATGGCGTCACTTGAAAGACTATACCCACGTTTCACTTCACTTATATATATGTATAAAAGTATTTAAGTCAAGAAAATATAATTAAGTACAATGCAGCTCACCTGGGGTTAAATCCCGCTTACCACACTGCTTATCTCAAATTATTGATGATTGCGCACTTTTGTTTGCTGAAAAAATATTTTTTCAGAGTTTGTTAATAAGAGAGTTTTAATAGCACAGAAAAAGCCGACCGCACAATTTGCTCGCTCAACCGGAAGTGTGCCTTTTGTTTGTTGCTGTTTTTACACTGTGCCTTCGTTTGCTTTGCTGTTTCCGTGTCACTGAAGAGCTTAAATTCTTTGCTCTTTATTTTACATATTTTTTGCAGTATTATGCATTTATTTATTCAAACTGATAACTATTTTCAGAAACACTTTAGAAAAAATAAAATTTTACTAGTTTATTCACGATATTCCCTATGCAATGGAGGAAAAATATTTTTCATTGTAAATTTTTTCCAAGTGAGATATCTTAGCAATAGACGTCATCCTGGGCCACAGCTGCGATCATCTGTTTTTTAGAGTTGCTTATTTTGCTCTAAAGTGCGCTTTTTTGACCTGAGTTGCATTAAATAGTCTCTTAAAACTTGGTAGTATTTGTTGCTCAAATGGTAACATATATGCCCAAAAACTTGAAAAATATTAGATTATTGCTTTTTAAAAATGCTATTTATAAAATTTGGTTTTGATTGGGACATTAGAAATATTCAGATTATAAAAGTTTTTCACATATGTTTTAAGATTTTAAAGCTTTTAATATGTACGGTAGAATGCAACAATGTGCTTGAATTTGTTTGCTTCTTCGTCAGCTTATTCGTTTGCAGACTAGAAAAATGGCGAACAGCCATCAAAATACTGATTCAAAATACACACAAATGGGTGCGCGCAGCAAAATTCAGCCCTAATGGTAAGTTCATTTCATCGTGCGGCGACAAGTTAAGAATTTGCGATACATTTTCAGGCGTATGTATGCGAACGTTCACCGGGGGAAGAGGTATGGGACGACAGCTGGCATGGCATCCAGACGTCAATCTGGTGGCTTTAGCATTAAGTTGTAACCGCGTTAAGATATTTGACAAAGCTGAAGGCGAGCTAATACAGTGCATTCGTCGCCGGAGAATGATGTTGCATTTCACCCAAGTGGAAATTTCTTGGTGACTGGCGGCGATGACTATACAATAAGATTGCTTGATTTATTAGAAGGTTGGCCAATTACACGGTAGTAGTGCACTTTAGCTGATCCATATAAAATACATTTTTTCCTGTATTCAACAGTTGCCCGTTTGGAAATCTAATTTGCATACATTTGATGCCAATAGCTCGCAACAAACAAGCCAGTTCTCAAAGAGCCCAAATTGATTTTAGTCATGCAACAGCTCCACATTACTCCGCCATAGACACACCAGTTGCTGGAGTACCAAAAAGCTGTGATGACAGTATTTTAATTGATCCACGACAATCGGTGGCATATGGAATGCGTGATAGAAATTTTCTGGTGCTTGATAGCCAATATACTACAAGAGTGAAACGCTGTGATAGTATTTTTTCTTAAATTTCCATCTTTTATTTGCAGTGCATTAAGAAGCTCATAGAGGACAGAGCGGTTGGTGAGGAAGGTGTCGAGTTACTGCAGTACTGCAACTGGGAAAATCCGCATTTCGCACGTGTCCCACTCATATGGAATAGTAGCTTATGTCAAAAGGCTGGTTTTAGTATAATGCGGCATTCGCAACATACCCTCACTGGCGCCGAGCCGTTGAAGAAATTTTGGATAAATAAACGTGCAAGAAATAGTTCCGATACTAGCACGTCCATATTCTTGTTAAGGGTCATCAAAAAATTCCTTGTGTTGTAAATAATAAACGGATTGCCGGATTATACTAAAGCCAGCTTCCCGACATAAACTACTATTCCATACGAACACAGAAATATAAATGTATCTAAAACTGAATAACTCAAATCAAATTGGATTGCATGTGCATAATATACCTAATATTGGAATCTGTTTTGATCGTAAAAAATACAACTTGCAATCATTTAGATTATAGTTTTGAAAGAAATTGATTGCAATCGTAAATTATGTAAAAATTGTCAATAACAATCTGCCTAAAATTTATTTTCCCCATGTAACGGTTATAAAATACGTTAAATCCGCACTATCTGCATTAACAAAAAATATACATTGGAATATTTAAAATAAACCGATTCATATTTATTTTCTAATAATAATTGTTTCTTAATTGAAAGTATTTAATACTAATAAAATGTAGTGGTTAATGTTTTAAAATGAATTCGCAATATGTCCGCAGCTCAGGTGGATTTAAAGAAATCCGTTTAAATTTTTCGAATTACATCTACTTGAATACAGGATTGTATACAAATGGTAGTTCCGTAAATATTTAAAATATGTTAGTTCATTCAATATTTGCATCTGAGCCAATAAATAACAACAAATATAGCCGAAAAAAACAAAGTTTCAATTAAAACCAGTTTTTATAGAGATTTATTTTTTTAATATACCTTGTTTATACCTACACAAAAACCGGAATAGCAAAAAACCGATTGGACTCAACATATATTTCTTTACAGCATTTATCCCCCTGTCTTTATAGCGCACTCGATAAAGTCTTATTCAAAAGTAAACAAAATTGCTATTTTAAAACGACATTTTTTTAATAAATAATTTGTGCGGTTGACCGAAATGGAAACAAACAATAATTGTAATTTATTATAACAATAATACGAATTTAAAACGGGCTGTATAAAGAAAACCAGCCTATTGTCACTTCACTTTCCAATGGTGCTGATTGCTGCAAGAATTATTTAGCGATTTAGAGCATAATCAACACAATATATGCACATAAATATGTATTATTTCACAGATCTCAGGGTCAGCTTAGAAATACGTTACCAAAATTATATAAAATTTAAGTAGGAATTATTTTTAGTTATAACGTAAAAGCGCTATCTGACCCAATCTGATAAGTATATTTCCCCTAAAGTTAACCCATTTTATTTAATTTGTCTCTCGTGGAAATATATATTTTATTTAAAATTTTCAGATATGTACATATATTTTAAATTTTTGCTTTAATTTTTGTCTCCTTTAATATTTAATTAGATACCTTAAGATTAAAATAAGCTTAAAACGAAACAGCACAGCAACCCTTTTCTGTTCATCTTGAGAACACAAAACCCTCTTTTGTTAAAATTCGGCGCTGCACAAAATCCTGGCTTTTATATTTTCCAACAAAATACCACTTCGCAACCCTGGATTTTCACGAAGCGTTTCATTCGGGTCGTAGTTTGGCTACTTCGGGCCATTCGGTGTTGTATGCCATATTGGCTGCCATATTGTTCACACTGTCATCGCCATATTGAACACCCTGTCAACTATCTGTCAACCCTAAGATATCTCACTTGTATTCTTCCACAATGATTTTTTCCTCCTCTATGCTGACATCTCAGTATATCCAGTAAACAAACTTAGCTATTTTTTTTTACCAAGTTTGGTCCCCATAAAGGACTAGTGTTGCAAGCAACGCTTTTTCGGCAATTAGGGTGTTGTGCAGCTATTTAATGTGGTGAAAATTATTTAAGCACTGGAGAGATTTATTCACATGGAAT